TTTTAGAAATTAAAATATAGTGGTATTTTTGATATATAAAAATATACACCAAAATGCTAACGATAGTTATCTCTGGGCATAATTCTCCTTTTCTTCTTTTTCTTCTTTTTTTTTTCTTTTGTTGTTATTCTTGCTGCTTTTTTTGGTTTTGGTTTTCTTGCTTGTCTGGATTTTCAAAATTTTCTATAATGAACATGTGTTACTTCCATAATAAGAAAAAATATCTATTATAGCATAAAAATAAAGATAAAGATTTGAAAACTTATAACTATACATAAAATATGGAAACAAAAATGAGAAGTTCTCAACATATTACACTTTTAAGTAGGAGCAAATTTAGCCAAATCCTATTATGGAAAATGAGAGAAACATATTCAAAACTCATAATACACCATTAAAAAACTCAATAATTCAAAAGGAGGAAAGATGTCTGAAGAAGTACCAGGTGGGAATGAGCTGAAAGAATTAAAAATCAGGCTTTGTGCTAGTGCTGGACAGTGTGAAACTTTAGAAGGAATCAGTTTGGGCAAGGTTAAACAAAATAGAGCAGGAAGATGGCCTACTTCATATACAGGCTGGAGGAAATGGAAAAATAAGCTAAAGTGATGAAAAGAATAAATTTTATTCTAAGCACACACTTATGCAAACATTTTCCTTTCTACACGGCAATGGATGCTATGCCTGGAACAGTCCCTTTACACTCCAGCTCCCTTTGAATCGACATCCTCCCAGTACCAACTTAGACCAAAAGCCCTGCCTCAGACACTCTTCGGCCATAGATGTTAAATGATTCTTATGTAACATTCAGTTGAAATCCTTATTCTGATCCAAACTTCAAGCATCTTTAAATGCCTGTAAATGTTCTTTCTCTGAAATTACCTATGTATTTATTTTTGTTTAAAAACAGAATAGGAAGAGGTAACAGCATCTCCCTTTGGAAGGTAACAGCTAGAATAAAGAACCATGTCCTTTTTATACCACCTCCTCAAGGCAGATCCTTAAAAGTTTTCACATAAAAAAACTTTGCCTAAAATATTTTACAAATGCTTTAATAATGTAGATTTGGCTAAGTCTATATTTGAGAGAAAAAAGTTAACTAAGAAGCTTTGGCCAAAAATCTCAAAAGGTATGTAAAGCTTATGAGTATAATGACACATAATGGTTTCAAATGAAAATTATCTAACAATCAATTAATATGCATGCCAGGTGATTGGCACAGTATCTGGCTGAGGATGTTTTTTTTTTAATCTAAACTGGACCTGGGAGGATAGAATTTGTTTAGCATTATCACTTGAAAGAAATACTGAAATAATAGTGTTATTATTAATTTCAATAGGTGATCTCTAGGTTACCCTAACTGTAAAAGCACATATACTCTTGCCCAAGACCTGAAAACGTTAAAATCCAATCTTCCAACTCTTCACTACATTTTTAATGAACATGAATGAGCTTTCCAGAATATTAAGCTAGAGTTTCATGCTTGAGTTTTCTGAATCTTCTGACATACAGACAGAACTGGGAACAAATTACTTTTACCAATCTTGTCCCTATTTACTGGCACAGAAAGTAAAAGGCACTTAATCTTATGTGTCAAACTCAAAGACTGAAACAGCTTGCTGTCTGTCAGCTTCAGTAACCATTTTTTACAAGCATGGCACACTGCCTCAAGCCAACTAAACAGTAAACCATGCTGGGCTGCCCACATTGCAAATTATTTGGAATGTTCTCCATGTTTTCTGGTTGCAAAAGTACCTCTTTTGTGGATTATCCAGTTCAAATTAGAACCACATCTGACCTTAAACAGAAAATTCCCAGGAAACTTGAAACTATAACTGACCGAGATCTCATCAATTCTGAAAGTATGTGATCCTAGGCTCATAGTCAAACATTTAAATGTTATTTGTGAGAGCCCAAGAGACACAACATAAACTCTAGGTAACAGGTTACTGCCTGTTTCAAGTAAACACTAAGAACTCACCCTAAATATATACATATCCTAGTTGCAAAAAAAAAATAATTGCTACATGCAATAAAGTAAAACGCATTTGTAGCAAATATAAACACACTTCTGGTAAACGCCTGGCAAATTAGCCCAAAAATCAATCTAAAAAATTATTTCATTTCATTTCTAATTTTCCTACATAAGCTGAAATACAGCAGCTGTGGAATGTGATAAATATTCCAAAACTCTGCTTGTGGTGATTGGAGCATTGTATTATAGGTATTATTTTTGCGAGCATTAATGGATACCTCTCTCAAACCAAATACTTTAGGACATCATTTCACGAATTGGAATACTAAAACGTCCTCAAGGTTTGCCTCCCCATGCCTTTGAGGTCTACTCTCCAAGCCCAGACCAATGCAGAATGCCCTGAAGGTCATTTTTGAAGTGTTAAAAGAGGAAAACACTACATTGACAAGCTAACGTTTACCTAGGGATTCTTCTATTGAAAATAAATTACTGAAGCTTAAGAAATGCCTGATTCCATCATCCATTGGTAGGATAATTCAGTCCATTTCAATAAATATGTGGTGAGGATCACTGGCATATGCATCCCTGGTCAAATCCTTGTGTAAGAACAAGAACACGTTGGAAAACACAGTATTTTTTAACTTAACTGATATTGGCATTCGCTGAAGAGATGACAAGCACTAACAGTAACTATTTTTAGCTTTTGATCTTTTAGATCGTCTGTTCTTAGTGCATGTGTATTATCAAGTCACTGAATAGTTTTTTCTACACTGGCATATGCATCCCTGGTCAAATCCTTGTGTAAGAACAAGAACACGTTGGAAAACACAGTATTTTTTAACTTAACTGATATTGGCATTCGCTGAAGAGATGACAAGCACTAACAGTAACTATTTTTAGCTTTTGATCTTTTAGATCGTCTGTTCTTAGTGCATGTGTATTATCAAGTCACTGAATAGTTTTTTCTATTATATATATTATTTGTTATTATATATTATTCTATATATTATATACAATATATCATGTGTTATTTCCCTGTTACATATATTAGATATAAACATGGATTTATGATATATAGTGATATACATATATATACTTAGTTTCAAAAAGAATCATTCACAAAGCAATCATCTCAAATCAAATAAACCATATACAAAATCGCAAGTTACTCATATTAATCAATACAATTCTAAGAACTAAGTCACATCTATCTTAGAACCCCAAATTCTTAATGAGTGTAGTACTTACTTGCCTGGAGTCCAGAAAACTTAAGGTAAAATGGTAACTGCAGTTAGGATATTAAGTATGTGACTTTTTCTAAAGAAATTCTTTTCCAAGAATGTTCAGTTTGCTGCAAATTTTCAGAAAATGCTTGAGATTGTGAGCTCTTTTTATAAAGTTTCAGTTCTGGTATATTTGACAGCAGAGTGACAAAATTGTGCTCAGCGATGAAAACCTATATCCCAAACGAAATGTTATAATATTAATGGTTATTCTGGAATAATTTTCTTTCAAAACTTCCCGCTGCAAATAAGATATTTCCTACAATATTTCCTGTCTATTTTGGTAGTATATTTTTCACACACAAAATTACATGCAAAGCAAATGCCTGACTGAATACTTCATGATATTCTTTTCTTTAAACAAGCTCCAACATTCTATTTTATTTTTCAAAATAACATGGATGATATAATCGACTGTGTCACTAAAATTCTGGGTACTACAACACTTCACAAAATAAAGGGACTTTTCATCAGCATCTTAGATTTGTAGCTAACCTCAGACATACACAATGTAAGTAGAGAAGACAGAAACAGGAATAGACAGGTGTGGTAGACTCCTGGGGGTGAGAGAAAATGGGCTTTGATCATCCACAGGACACATGAAAAAAGAAAACTTACTCACTTGTGTAATAAATGTACTTCTATAGCAAGTTTCACCAAATAATTACATGTATTTGGCGAAACCTAAAATAGGGTAAAGCTATCAGAAGCAATGTCAGATTATGCAAGAAACATCAGGTTTTATTTATGATTCCTAGAAATACTACTCCTAAATTTAGTTAGAGCCTTTTAATCCAAGACATAATGAAAATCAACAAATAAAGAGAAAAGCTTATATTTAAAAGATATGGTTAAAACTTCATCTTACCTCACTGAGAAAAACTGCATACCTACTATGGATACTTGTATTTCCTTAGAGTAGAGACCAAGTCTAAATATCTAATTAGGGACTAAACGGTTACTTTAAAAATTTGGATCAGCTCTGGGGGTTGGAGGGGGGGGGATTTCATAAAGATATATTGTTGGGGTTTTTTTATTTTGGTTTTTTTGTAGCATTCTGAGCCTCCAGCATATATTTTTCTCATATAAAAAAAAGAAAAGAAAGAAAGAAAGAAAAAAGAATTTCCCAAAAGCAAAAGGGGCGGAGGACGACAATCAGAGCGACGCTCAAAATCGACCAAGGCTGAAAGACAGAGCGCCGCAAGCTTACCCACATGTAAGAGGCAACCTCTCGGAACTGCTGGAGCTCGCGAGGAGCCCTCCCACTCTGGCAACCGAGGTGAATTTCACCCCTAAAGAGTGACGAGACCACAGTGGAAAAGTTCAAAAGGATCCCATCCCCTTCTTCTCGCTCCCAGCACTCGGCTCCTCGGGGAGCGAGCCCAGCGGTGAGAAACCCGGCTTCGGGAGCCGACCTGCAGCCGCCCGCTTTCCTAGAAGGCCTAACTGCTCCGGCCGGCAGGGGCCGGGCGGGGGCGTCGGTCGGGAGGCCGGGCGGGGCGGCGCCCGGGGAAACCGAGTCCCGGCCGGGCCCCCATCGTGCGGCGCCGGAGGCTGAAATCACTCAAGTCCCGCTGCAAAAATCTTGCCGAAAACCTGAGCTTCTCCCGCACAACTTCGGTCTGATCAGCCTCCTCCTTCGCCACACACTCCCCCCCACCGCACGCCCTCCCCAACGCGGCGGATCAAAGCGCCCCGCGCCCCGGGGCCCCCTGTCCCAGGGGCCCGCGCACCCCGAGTCTCACCTCGTACAAAGGGCTGCGCGCGGGCGCCCGCCGAGCGCAGGGAGCGTGGCCCCATCCAGTCCCTCCCGGAACTTTCCCGACATAGCACTTCTCTCTCCCGCTGCAGAAAACAACGCTTCGCGGTGCCGCAGGGAGAGCGGGACGCGGCGGCTTCCCAGGCGGCGGGCGCGGGAGCACAAAGTGAGGAGCATTGCGGCCGAGCGCCGCCGCCTCCCGATCTGCCGGGGGTTCCCGCCCCCAGGGTAACCAAAGCGGCCTCTTAAAGGCGCCCGCCGCGTTTTCGGATGCGAGGAGAGGAGGTGGGGAGAGAGGGCGGTGGGGGAGGACGCGAGTTAAGAGCGGGGAGCGGAGACTGAGAGATTCCGGAGGCCACTGTCCAGGCTGACCCCGCGTTGCCGGCTGCTTCCCGAGCTCCCTGTCAGGTCTGGTGGCCCCTACACCTGGGCAAAGGTAGGGTGCTCCGACCCTGCATTGGGGGCCGCCCTCGCGGATGATTTGCGCCCCACAACGATCTTTGAAAAGTCGCTCCTTCTCATAACCGAGCCTCTCCTTTTTAGGGTCTTGGTTTCTACCCGCCTCCGCCCCCCCTCCCACGCACATCCCTACCCCAGCGAAGCTGCCGGGGTCCGCGCCCCCAAAACCATTGCTCACCGCAGGCTACTGCCCAGTGGCGTTGGTTTCCTCTCTTGCTGATTGTTCCTCTATCTCCAACACAGTGATGAGGGTCTCCCCCACGAGCAGGAACGCAGGAGACCAAATAAATAAAGACCAACTGAGACCCTTAGACTGAGCCCTGATGGTGTCACTGGTGTGTGGCACGGGAGACTTGCCAAATGCCCTGCTTTACTCTGTGCTCAGTTCTCTTCCAATGGCCAATTGCCAGGTGGCCTCCAACTGGATTTCTTGAACCACTGACTTTCATCAACAGAGAGTGGACATCCAAATCTCCAAATTGAACTCAGGAAGGCCCTCCAGAAACCATACCACCTTAAGATAAAAAAGGTTCCTGTGAAATACTGCCTTCAAGTAACAAGTGATGTTTTTCTAGCTTTCATCAACATTTATGATGTCTGCTGAGACCATAGAGGGGTACGCCCAGTGTGGGGATGCCTGGGAGTCACCAGCATCAGCTGCTACCATCACCCTAGGAATAGACAGCAGTAAAAGTGTGTGTGCGTAGCAGGCTTGTTTTTTCTACCTCATGACTCCAACTCTTGCCTCTTAGTACGGTAGGACCTGGGCATAGTGTTGTTGTGTCTTTTGTACCCTGCACCACGACCTCTGGCAGAGGTGGAGGTAGGTAGGCAATTGAGGTGAAGATCCATCCTGGGCTCCAAAGGGATGAGAACAAGGCTCAGATGGAGAGGTATTTCTGATTTGCACAAAAGACTTGCTTCAGTAGCCTGAGATTTAACCTTGGATCTTCCTCTCCTGCCACCTGCAGCTGTGAAATAAGCATTGGTGGACTTGTGAAGGGAGAGGGCAGGGAGACAATATGCAAAATCTTGGAGCAACTTCTATTACAGATGGAGAGGAAATAAGCTTTGGGCTCTAAAAAAGTAGAAAGCATGGTCCTGCCTGGATCAAACATTAAGACGAGAGAGGAAGTTAGCAATGAGCAAGAGTGAAGATACCCTGGTTTTATGTTAAACTCCTGTATTGTCAGGATGGTTGTATATAACAGGCACCCAACTCAGACTCAAAGACAAGAAAACCTACAGTGGAAGAGATTGGTACGTATTGACTCATATGCTTATACATCCCAAGAGTAAAGCTGGCAAAACAAAACAACAAAAAAAACATGAGTTTTTTTCATCTTTTTTTTTTTCTTCAGATACTCAGAGTGTCAAGACTCAGTTTCTCTCCATATCGGGACTGTGCTTTCATTGCACTGATTTTTTTTTTTCTCTAATCAAGGCCTAGGCCTACAGGCCCAGGTTTACCACCCCCTCTAACCTCCTTATCCCGTAGGCAAGAGCGCAGGCGAAGGAATGAGTCACATTGAACTCACTTGGATTCTGTGCCCATCTGTAACCATGGTTATAACCACTATAACCATGGGTTGGAATATGCACAGTCAGGTTGGGGTCATTTATGTATGTCTGGAAAAAGTTAAGGGAGACAGCTATATTGCCCTCCACTCCCCATAAACACTGAGTGGAAGAAAGGAGGTTCCCCAAAGGAAAATTAGTGTTGTTAACAGGAAGGAAATGAATGTTGAGTAAGTAAAGACCATAGATGATCCATTTCCCATAGCTCCCCATTCCCCACCACGTACACATACACACAGAGCACCAAAAGGACTGATTGCCTCTCTGGATCCTCTGCCAGCAACCTCAGGATCAGAAGAATGCTGATGATCATGGGATTTCAAGTAAATGAATCAGCCAGCCACATTCTTTGGCACCATAGAAGGATCTCAGCAATGTTTAATAAAACATTGGCAAATAAACAATATCTAAATTATAATTACATTCAATAATATTTAGCCTAAATCATATTACCTCTGCCTCTACAAGCCCCCAACCCCACTTTCATTGTTAAGCCTGTGTTATTATGGAATCAATTCGACTTCATAAGAGTCTGTGGAAATTTCATGTTGCATATGTATTCAGCCCAGCTTCATTTTCAAACTCCAATAAGTTGTTCTTAATATTTTCAGAGATAGCACCAATTTTATATTTTGCCTGCCAAAAAATGCCGAACCATTTCAGCCTTTTTAGTTCCCACGCGAGAACTTTTCTTATAGTTCTAATAAAAATGTTTCATATTTTCTTCCTTTATTTCTGTATTTTATAGAAGTTCTTAGATATCATTGAAAAAAATAGAGTTAAAGATGTGGAAGAGACTTCACAATTAACCTAAAATACCCTCCCTTTACTTCAGGGATGAGGAAATGAAATTTGGTGGTCGGGGGAAGACTAAGAAGGTAAACAGTTTCCAATATATGGTAACAGAAGGAGAATAGACTTTGGATGGTGTATTATAAAGTTGTATACCTGAAACTTATATAAATATTATTAACCAATGTAACCCCAATAAATTTAATGAAAGTTTTTAAAAAAGAAATGAAAGCTCAGAGATTGACTGGTCTAGGGTCACACAGCCATTTTTAGCATCTGTGATGTGCCCAGCTCTGTGCTAGACATTTTGAAAAGTACAGAAGCAAAAGCATACAATATGGTCACTGTTCTCAAAGAGGTTAAATTTAGTCAAGGAGACATAACCATATAAGTAATTACAGAGCATCACAATATATCATATAATTTAGTATTAAAAAATGTGATGAGCTCTGTGTATTAACTATAGGCATTGAAATAAGAGACACTATGAACTGGAGTAACCTGGAAAATGCTTTTTAGCCAGGAACCAACTTGATGGCCTTTAAGAAATGAGGAAAAAAGAATGGGCTTTCCAGATGAGAAAACAAAAGGAGAAAGGCATTGATGGAGAAAAGATCTTGTCATGTGTTTGAAACAAATGAAATCTATACTGATATGGTTTAGAAGAGTGTTTCAAACTGCAAGTCATAAAATCATTTTAGTGGGTGTAGAACAGCATTTTTTAATTAAATAAAACAAAATATCAGAGTATCATATTTAATAAGGCTATTATTTGTTAAACTTGCATTTCACTATCTTATGTATTCTAAGTTATGATGTAAATTTCATGTCTCACTTTTGGTCATATTCAAAAAAAATTTTTTAAAGACCCTAGTTCTGAAGCCATACAGACTAGATGTGAAACTCTTCTGTGTAGCAAGACATTGAGCAAATGCCATCTCTACAAGCATCAATTTCCTTATGTGCAAGAGATTTGAAACACAATCTTTTGCACACAGTAAGACCCATAAATGTTACCTCTTATTTGCTGGCTAGATTGGAGATTTTTAGGCCTGATTGCATATGAGAATCATCTGAAGAGTTTTTTTAAAAAAACAAATGCCTGGATCCCACCCTTAGAGACCCATACTCAGAGACCCACATTCAGTCCTGGAGTGGAGTCTGGGCATCAGTGAGTTAAAAAGCTCCCCAGATGCAGTCATGGCTGCAAACCCCTGGGCTAGACCCATAGCAGAACACATGTAGTACCTGAGGAGCATGGTAATATGCTGTCTCTTTCTTCAGTGGGCACATTGACCTTCATGATTTATGTTTCCATTTCTTTACCAAGAAATAGATAGCATGCTAGGTCGTCAGCAGAATTCTAACTACTTTCTGCTCTGAAAATGTAGTGCAAACTTGTTCATAGTTTATCTCAGTCAGTAACACAGCATGAATCCTGAGTCATAATCTCTTATGTGTCTCTCCACATGTACAATTTATCGTCAGTTACCAGCATATAATAATTTCTGGAGGTGTTAGAAAGCAATAAAATACCACCAAAGATTCCCTAAGGAAGAGGAAAGGGCTAGAAGAAATAGCATTGGAAATCCATTAGCTAATTAGCAAATGACTCATTAAATTTCAGCCATTTTCATACTGACTTTTAATAGTGTTGCTTCTAAATATAGTAATTAGTGATGTGCTTTTTGTGATTTTACATTCAGTAATCCCTAAGTGTTCATATCTTATATAGTTTTCCCTATGTAGTCAATCCCTTTGTGTATGAAGCAGGAGAAGCTTCTTCAAATACAAACTGCCTAAGAGACTCAGAACCACTGTTATTCTGCCTAGTCATTTCCTCTAAATAAATTTTAACTTTTTTTTTTAATTTGGTTGGGCAAAGATAATAAATGTAGCATAATTCTGAATCTTACCAAAGTGACAAAGCAACTAAGAAAAAGAAAAAAACTACAACCTAAACATCCAACACCCCAACATATATGCATCATGATATATGACAAAATCAGAAGTACCCAGAACCAATATGAGGCCTTCTTGCCCTAGAAATTGTATCTGAATCTAATCAAGCCTCCAGACCTAATAGGAAATACAGGGACAGAGGATCGATCAGGTTTTAAAACCAAACCAAAGAAGCAATCAGTCAAATCCAGAATGTCAAATATTCAATAAGAAAAATGACCTCGTTCCTGTACCAAATCAATGGCATGAAAAAACGGGGCAGATTGTAAAAGAGTAAAAGAGATTTAAGAATCATAATCATGAAATGCAATGTGTGGATTTTGTCCCGTTTTGAACAAACCACCTGTGAAAAGAACCCTTGAGATAATCAGGAAAATCAGATTATAGTCCAAGTATTAGATAC